ACGAGGTAAAAAAAAAAAAAAAAAAAAAAAAAAAAAAAAGCAGGAGGGGCAGCTTGATACCTCTAACATTTTCCTCCTTTCTTCTACAGGGTTCATTTTCTTCATGGGCACTGCTGGGGCCTGGACAAAAAGTGAAACTGCAAATTAGAAGAGTGGCCGTTTGGATAAATTCATGGAGATGTGTGCTATTCCAGTTCCTATTTACGTCCTATGGAATCCTTGGTATAAACCAGGCTTCATGCATCTTAAAACGAAACATCTTATTCTGCCCAGAACAAATCAGATTCTGCGTTGGCTATAGGCACAACAAAACACAATTTTCCAACAGAATGCCAAAAGATTGTAAACCAATGTAATTTACACAAACTAGACACATGTCTTAAGGCTTGCTCACACCATATCCGTTGAGTTGTATTTTTATGCACACCACCGCAAGAAGCATGGTGTGAACAAAGCACATAGAAAACAATTGAGGCTGCTACTTGTGATTGGGTAGAAGTTAAGTGTGAACAGGAAACTGGAGTGCTTATCTTATGCACTGCACCAATTTCATGAAAGTGACAATGTTAACAGCAGGTCCGGGAATGTCGTTTTTATATATTACTCACAAAAATACTGTAAGCATAATAGTTAACAAATACTATAGGTGATTAAAGTTACTCGGTCATGAGAAGTATAGGGGCTGCCATTGCAGGCCTCCTTCTGAAAGTGCTAGGTGTCCGACCTCTTCAGAAATACTTATCACTATACTTGTTTCAAGTTAGCAGCTCAGGCAGCAGACATCAAAGTATCAGAATGACAGACAGGAACTAACATTCCCAAAAGAAAGCACAGTAATGGCGGCCTCCATTACCATTGAATGACAGTGGTCCTTTAAAAGGCTTACTCCAGCCACAACATTGTGAGAGTTGGGAAGAAATAAAACATCCGTCAGAGTGATGGGAAATCTATCATGCGGAACATGGACTGCAACAAATACCCGAAGAAGCCCTCAGAGTAGCTGAATAGAGCCAACAGCTCATTGGCTGCCCGCTGAAACATTTTCTTCAAATCAGCTGATCAAGGGATGCCGGCCGAAAGGGTGCCAACAGCAGCACCCACTGCGAATTTGCCAGTTCATCAAGAACCGGCCAATGTAACCACAGTGTATGGCCACCTTTACTATCTACGCATTCCTGTCCCAGTGACAACTGATTATCTCAATTCTTATCTGCTATCACAGGGACAGGAAATGAGGTGAAAAAAAACGGGATCTCAGCAACAGAGAGAAAAAAAACCCCACACTTAACAGAAGTATTTGGTCTTTCCAAGAGTATGAAAAAATGTTTTGCCAGCAAACTTCCAAATATCCCTCAGAACGTTCCTCACTAGTTTAACACAGTGTAAGAGGCTGACCCAGCTATTTTGCATATATATATATATATACACACACATACACATATATAGGATCTCTCTCTATCTATCTATATAAAAGCACATAAATCACATTAACTTCAAGGTTTTGAAGCGATATCATTCTCACCTGTCTATGCCTGATTTGCGGCTTTCTGTCATAATACTTCTTTGCAGATTCTGCAGACTTCTTTATGGTTAAAGGCACTCCGTACTTAGCAGCCGGTTTGGTGATTTTCTGTGCAGGTGGAGAGGCGGATTGCATGGCTTGTGCTGGAGCTTGTCTTTTGGCTAATTCCACAAGAGACAAATGTACACATATCAGACATTCAAGTGGCTCAGACTCCAACAAACACAGGCAGGCAGACAGAACATTGGTGTCTTTAGGATCCTCAGGTATCTTAAATTCTCTAATTACAAAAATGAAATGAGAATAAAACAAAAGAATGTACATTCTGAAGAAAAGAATGTACACGCAAACAACACATTTGTTAAACAAAGATAATCTGCCAGCCAGACTAATACTTTTCCTTACCCCATTAGGTCTCCTATTATACAGCACTGCATACCATAGGAGCATAGACAGTCTGAATAACTCGGTTTCAATTGTCAGTTTATTTATGTCTATGCCTGGCCCAGCTACCTCCCTCAACACTGCTGGCCATAGGCATCTGCCCAATTCTAGAAAACAATCCAAGCTTCAAACAATGTCTTAGCCTACTGACAATGGCACAAATCCCAGCCAGGATTGTCTTTGAGGAATGACTGCCACAGATGGAAAGTTACAACCTGGCTGATCAATTTTCTTTTGCATGATCCAAAAAACAACCTCTGGATATTGAAGAGTTCCTTGATCAGCTGAAGCAGAGCGTTGCCCAGATGAATTCTGTAGGCACCGTTATTTTTCACAAGGTTTTAGGCTGGGTTCACACCTGGGCATAACGCATGGCGTGTTTTTTAGATCTTTTTTTAACATGTTTTTTCGTTCAGTGAAACGCACGTTTTTATACCTCCCTGGCGGTATTATTTTTCCTTTATTTTCTGTTTTGTAAACTTTCACACTTTCCGCCGGTTCCGCCCCCCTGCGACACAGCCGCTCGCAAGGGACGGAACCCCGGAAGTCGGCAGCGGCCGGAGGACACAGCGGGGATCGCGGACAAGGTAAGTCCTACGCTGTATTCCTGAGTGTGGCTAGGGGTTACCGCTTTGTTAACCCCGAGCCACACTCGGGAATAACAATGGATACGCGCTGAAAAACGCTCCAAAGAAGCTCCTGTACTTGTTTAGGCGTAGGGCGTTTTTCAGGCGTTTCCACGGGCTGAAATACGCCCAGGTGGGAACCATGCCCATAGTAAATTAAGGGATTTCCCTTGCTGAGCATTTTTCAGCGCTTCGATCAGCGCTGAAAAACACCCAGGTGTGAACCAGACCTTATAGTGTCCAGACTGATAGAAGACTATTGAACAGAAAGCACATTTCTGGTATATAGTTAGACCATAGTTACACAGAGCCCAGATCACACCTCAAAGCTCACTTCCATAACAGGAGTCAGACGTTTTGTATAAATATTAGGGCCTGTGTCAAGGGGTTTTGGGCTTGTGTCAATGTCATCAGTTTTACATCGGTGAGATGTTTCAAAGATAACTCTAAATACATTGACAGTTGCATCTGACCTGCTTCAGGCTGGTTTTGCATTCCCATAGACTTGCAAAACTAATCTGATGTCAACAAAAGCCTGTCAACAAAGGCCCCAAATTTGTCAGATCCCTAGGCATTTAGCATGCAGATCTCAAGTCCAATCTGTAGCACACCTTCTCCTTACCTCTGTGCTGGTTGGAAAGGCACAATGCATGAACCTGAACAATGCAGAGGGTGCCAGAATGTGCATATTACATGCACCTGGTACCTGTCAATTAAAACAAGTTAGCACTCTGACAAGATGTCCGTAATGATTTTCGGCAGCAGTTGGAAAGTCTTTGGCCAGGCAGGAGGTTGTAAAAAAGCAACACTGCTAATTCTGTGGGAGCTGTGGTCCCTATGCAGGAGTAAGATCATCCCTTAGCCAAATCAGGGCTAGAGCTCTTCAATCAACAAGGAGCGTGAGCTTTACCGATTGCATCACTGTAGCTCTGACTCAACATGGAGAATGTTGGACGTCTGCAGAGACCGAAGCTCTCACAAAGATAGCAGCGTTCCTCCCTGCAGCCTCTTGCCCAGCCACAGACTTTTCTACTGTTGCTAGAAATGACTTGCAAGCCCACAGAACAGTAAGACAGATGACTATTTTCAGTACCCTGAATTTAACTACTTTTGGGAATGCTACAGTTGGCCTTTAGCCAACTTGTATTAATACTATTTGAGCCTACAATGCCCCTCATTGGAGGCTTCACATACAATGTAGAAAACTGAAAGCATGCAACATTAATTACCTACCAGCTACGGCATTAGCTGCGGGTTTAGGTTGGTTCAGAACTGCTCCCATGCCAAATTCTTCAACAATAACCTGATAAATTAAAATATAAAATATCACATGATTTGGACAGTCGAAAGATAATAAAACTGACAAAACATATAACTTGTCTAACAAAAAGATGTATGAATCTTAAAACACCCTTGGAAAAAATGGCATGTAATAGCGCAACCTCTTCTGCTTCTTTTGTAGCAGAATAAAGGGAATATTACATCATATTACCCAATATATTGGGTCTAAAATAGAAATGTTCTGTTAGAAAGATTATTCATCTTTTCATGTTAAAGAACTGACCGTAAAAATGTTAAAAGATGCAATGTTTTATATTTTTAAAAGATTGACTTAATGGAGGCCATTGTACAAGGCTACAGAAATATATTCATAGCAGTTTCTGTAAACATTATGAAGGAAAGTTATCAAAACTGGAGCAGACATAAAAATGGAGCAGCTGTGCATGGAAACCAATCAGCTTCTCTATCTATTTTCAAATATTAACTGAACTAAAGAGAAGCTGATTGGTCGCCATGGACAACTTCTCCAGATTCTGTCTAGAGTTTAGATAAATTCTCCCCTATGTGTTGTGTTAACAAATTGAAGCATGTTGTGTTAAGGCAGCCCATTCATTTTAATTGAGCTGTCAAAACACCTCACAGTACTAAAAAATGATGCTACACTGTTTTTTGCCTAGTATCCATTTCTCTTGGAGGCAGCAGCATAACCATATATCTCAAAATTTTCTTGAGAGCTGTGTCCCTCAATGGACGATCGAGAAATATTTTTTTTTTAAATTGAAATGCTATACAGAAGTGGATTTACATTTCTGTTCACCCAATTCTGAGATTTACACAGCCCTGCAAGACAGTACAGCCATATGGAGCAGGGCAGGAGATCTGTGGTTGTTTTTTTTTTCCTCTGCTACAGGCAAGTAACATGCACAGATCTTTCCTCTCAGACTATAAATGAACAGTGAAGGAGAAGCAGCAGACTGTCAGAGAATTCAGCTTATCACTGTATCCTCCTATCAGCATGTTCCTTGTTAGCACATGGGCACTGCAGTACAACTGACTGCCACCAAGTGCTGCTTTTTTCTGTCTTAGCCTGCCCCTGCTGTATAGGAGGCAGTACAAAGTAAATAAATAATTACGTACAAATACAACATGCCATGAATGTGTGTATTTTATATGTGCCTGAAGTTCAGCTTTAAAAGGATTATAGTTCCAGTCACATACAACTTAGAGTTACCTGTGGAGGCAAAAACTTTTCAATACGTTTAAATATAAAAGGCTTCTCCAATATGGAGTTGACAGACGGACGATCCCTGGGATTTCTTTTAAAAAGCAAAGAAAGCAGATTGCGGAGGTCATATGAGTAATGCAGTGAGACTGGAGGAAACGAGCCCCGAATGATCTTCAGCACCAAGTTCTTCATATTGCCAGCTTCAAACTGAAATTGAACAATCTTTATTAGGTAAAAGGTACAACTGATCTGTTTTCAACAAGCAGCTTTTTAATAATATAATACTTTAAACAAACGTAAAAGGGGGGAATTGATCAAAACTGGAGCAGACAAAATCTGGAGCAGTTGCCCAGGGCAACCAATCAGCTTCTCTCTTCAGTTAAGATTTGAAAACGAAAGAGAGGAGCCGATTGGTTGTCATGCACAGCTGCTCCAGAATTAGTCTGCTCCAGTTTTGATAAATTCCCTTCAACATGTTTTAAAAGAATATAGAGCCAATGATAGTCACTTGGTGCCGTTTCTCCTTTGTGAAAGTTTATTGGGTAAAAATGCTGTAAAAAGTAAAAAGTAGATTTGTCCTAAGTTTGTGTATGGCAAATCTTTATTTGCAATCAATTGACTTTTCTTTACCCTTACCTAACAAATGCCAAGTTATGTAGAGCCTGAGTTTGAACCACAAATGACAAAACATATTAAAAAAAACAATCTATTCAGAATGACTGTTTCTGTTCTTTCCTCTGTTTGTGAATACTTAGTGACATTAAAGCCAGATTTTATTTATTTCTCCTTTAACGAGACCCTCCTTTGCTGGAGGATGTTGCTTTTTTTCTGTAAAAGTACCTCAATCCTCGTTTTTTAATGGGTCCCCCGCCATGCTCTTCCTCTGGCCCCTTGCACGGGTGCCACCATCGTACTAATGGTGGCACCAGTGCGCTTATGCCCGCAGCGGCTGTGTGCGTCCATAGACACACACAGCCCTGTGGCAGGCCACGCCCCTTCCCTCTTTGATTGATGGCAGAAGGAGCCTATGGCTCCTTCGCCATCAGCATCCTCCCCCGCAACCTGGAAGTTTGGGGTACGGAGGAGCGCTTTGGGACTGGCGGCGGGGACGAGCGCATCTCACAGGTAAGTGTGGGGGAGAGTGGGGGGGACGGAGGGAGAAAAAAGGCACTGGGCTGTTTTTACCCTAAAGCAGTGAATAAATTAAGGTAAAAAACGCCCAGACCTTAATACTACTTTAAATAAAAAATTTGAAAAAAACCCAACAATTTATTGTACAGGGATAGCTGGCATTAGCAGTTTAAACAGCTTCCCTTTTCTAAAGTTGCCCTTTAATAAAACCCCTTGCCTAAGAGAATCCCATCTGAGATTATATGTACCTTGAACCCCAACCCAGCAATTAGTCCTCTAACATGATCTTGGGCGGCTCCTCTTCTTTCTATCATGACCTCAATTATTCCATTACACCTAATGATTATCTGCAGATTTTGTATGGTCAGATGGAAAAAGTGCAACAGATTCCTCCATCTACGCTAAACTGTGGAGAAACCTCCCACTGGGCCAAGCTTCAGTATCTTGCTAGTCAGCCCCTTTGGCTGTCAAAATACCTGAACAACCTGATTGGATACAGGCATTGTTCAGGTATTTTGAGAGCCAGGAGGGCCGACAAGCAAGATACTGAAGCTTGGCCCAGTGGGAGATTCCTTCATCCACACAGATAAGTGTAGATGGAGGAATCTGTTGCACTTTTTCCATCTGACCATAGAAAATCTGCAGATAATCTATAGATGTATGGCCAGCTTTACTCATGGCAGCCTGCAGCAATCCCTTGGAGTACAGCTAACCCAAGACAAGCTGGCTGGGACCATGTTGAATTAACGATTGCAGGATCAGGGAGAATGCCAAGTATATTCCCAGGTTGGCTGTACTCAGGGGGGTGGGTGGTTTGTTAAAAGACAAGTGAAGGACGAAGTACTAATCTTATACACAAATTTGACTCCTTTTGAAAAAATTACTTACCCTCTTGGAACCGCCACGACTTGTATGGTCATTGCTATATGGAATGCTTCAGACTAAACATTGTGCCCGTCTGCCTACGTTTACAATTGCTTGGCAAGGTGACTCATCTCGCACTTTATCAGAGACTGATCGGGATACCATTTTTTATTTCACTCATAAATCCTCCATCTCCACTTACGCTCAGGAGAAAAATTATAAGATCATTTCTAGGTGGTACTGTGACCCGGTCCTTATAAATCGTATTTTCCCGAGCTCTCCTGATACCAGTTGGCAATGGGGAGAGGCAAGAGGTACTTATTTCCATATCTGGTAGGAATGTTCCCTGATCTCGCCATTTTGGACGAGTATCTAGAACATCTATAATAATAATTTATATGGAGATTCTTTGGAGCAATCAGCTGAAATTACATTATTATCTCTTTTGCTGGGGACCAGGAAAGCTCAAAAACAGATTTTATTGCGGCATTTTCTAGCTGCGGCTCGTCAGGTTATTTCTGCATTTTGGAAGTTGTCGATTACCCCTCCGTTATCCCTTTGGTTTAGCAAAGTTAATGATATCAAGCAGATGGAGAAACTCCTGGCCACTGATACCGATACTATAGATCGTTTGAATATTCAATGGTCCTTTTGGATTCAGAAGGATGAATCTAAGGAGCTTCCTTGTGATTTTGATGCTGTTACTCAGTATATATCTCCATCGTTGTTTTTCCTCTCTTTTATTTATTATTGTTGTTCTTTTTCCCCAGTTGTCTCCCTGGCCCTGCCTTCCCCTCCTTGCTCTTTTTCTTTCCTATTCTTTTCGTTATCCTTTTTTTTTGTTGTTTTAGTGTTTGATGCCATTTTTGAGCTCAATACTGTATTATCTTGGTGGATACTTGCTTGAACCATTTATCTATCTTTGATCTGATTGTGTCGAGTCTTTTGCGTTTTCCATTCTGTTCTATTGTTCTACTCTTTTTACATCTTAATAAAACTGATTCAACTATAAACAGGTGAAGTTCTACTTTAATTTTAAAACATAATCAACCACTTGAAATGATTTCAATCAATATGATGTCTCAATTTTTGGGAAATTTTAACAGAGCGGATCTTCTCTCTCTCTCTAAGACTTGGATGAAGATATATCTCCAATGAGGTTTAAGTCTCCATCCACATCTAAAAAGCTATAAAAATGGTGTCACCTTCTCTCAACTGCCCAGCCCACTCTTTTGTGTATTTCACAGAATGTAAAATCCTTCAAAAGACTTTGCCACCATCAGTCACCATTTAAAGAGTGATAGAAGTTTGGGAATTCTGATGGGTGTATCCCAAGACTTGTGTTAATGAAAGATATAACCCTGCATAAGTAACAACAACAAAAAAGGATGTTAAATCCACTTACCGCATGTTTGAGAGTGCACATTTCATAAAGGACACAGCCCAAAGCCCAAATGTCACTGCATGAGGAAACCACAAATGAATAATGAGTGGCACAATAGCAGGTAGACAAGATAATCACCTCTAAGATTCACAATAGCAATGAAAAATGTTGAGAATCTCATACATTATTATTATACAGGATTTATATAGCGCCAACAGTTTGCGCAGCGCTTTACAATATAAGGAAGACACGACAATTACAATACAATTCAAGACAAGATGGTAAGGAGGGCCCTGCCGGTGAGGGCTTACAATCTAAAAGGGAGGGGCAAGTGATACATGAGGAGGTAGTTGTGTGGGGATGAATTGTCTGAGAATGTGATGGTTGAGAGGTTAGGTTTAGTTGGGATAGGCTTCCCTGAAGAGATGGGTCTACAGGGATCGCCTAAAGGCAGTCAGAGTGGGGTATAGACAGACAGGTTGGGGTAAATAGTTCCAGAGGATGGGAGAGACTCTAGAGAAGTCCTGGAGGCGAGCATGGGAGGAGTTGACGAGGGAGCTCGAAAGTAGGAGGTCTTGTGAAGAGCGGAGGGGGCGGTTAGGGTGATACTTTGAGATCAGGTTTGAGATATAGCCAGGGGCAGAGTTGTGGATGGCTTTGTAAGTGATTGTTAATATTTTGAATTTTATCCTTCAGGCATCATAACAAATGGAGACAGCTTTTCAGCAATCTTGGTTCATAAAAGTAAATTACTTCAGTCTCTAACTATACATGCTTTTAAAGTGTCGCCTATGGCCAATTTTGTGGTCGTTTTCTGCGATTTCGCGGGCGCGCGCAATTTTAAGGCTTGACACATTTGGTGTCTATTTACCCGACGTGACCCTCGCCTTTTATATTTTACCAAAAAAAATGGGGGTGATAATAAATGTTTCATAACATTTCAAAAGGGAGACAGGTTTTTTTTACAAAATGTATGGTACTTTTTTTGTTGTATAGTAAAAAATAAAACCCCCAGCGGTGATTAAATACCACCAAAAGAAAGCTCTATCTGTCCCCAAAAAATGGTATAAAATTAATTTCAGTACAGCGTTGCATGACGGAATAAATGGTCAGTCAAAGTACCGCAGCGCTGAATAATGAAAAATGGGCTGGACAGGAAGGGGGTTTAACCACTTAAAGACACCCTGGTCTTTAAGTGGTTAAAGTATACCTAAAGTTAAAACTTTGTTGCCCCAATTTTGGACAGAGCTTTAACTTTCTGTACTGTAGACACAACAGGAAATCTCTCCAAAGTGAGTGAAATCCTCTGTTAGACAGTTTTCACCAGAAAAAAAAAAGTTACCCAATATATATACACATATATACACACACACACACACACACACACATTTTTGTTTTTGTAAGAAACAGTGTATACAAAGTAAATATATCTCAGATAACACAACATTTTTTTTCATTATCAAACTTGTTTAAAAAAAAATCTAAAAATAGGAAGTACATTGTGCAAACCTTTTGTTGTTGTAGGGTCGGTTCTCGCAGATCTCAGGGGACAGGTAGTAAGGAGTTCCTATACAAGTCCGAGCCAGCTCTACCGTGCTGAATATGAAAAAAAATAAAAAAATAAAAAATTTATAATAAAAAACTGAAGTATAAACACCTCTTACCAATGTAAGAAAAACCTTCTATACATACCTGTTCAATACTCTGGCTATTCCAAAATCCCCTAATTGTATGGTCGCACCTTTCGTCAAAAATATATTCTAAAATGGAGACGCAGGTAACAGATGTCAGAAAAACACACACATCACAATCCTATTAAGCGAAATACGTTTTCAACGTTACCTGCGACTTAATGTCTCTATGAAGAATTTTCCTATCATGAACATGTTTCAGGGCCAAACACAACTGAACAAACCAGTCTAGGATCTATGGGAAAGAAATCATAGCATGTTACCATTATCATTACATTGCAAAGCACAACATTTCCATTTTTAAATTTAAAGGCACCACTGATGGGTTTTTATTATTAATATTACAAATATTTTTAGAGAGTTGTCACTTTGCGCATTGCTTTACACACATCAGTCCTTGCCCATCCGGAACTTACAATCTATGGTTCATATCTCACATGTGTGTACACACACACACACACACACACACTAGGACCACTTTGGAACGTAGCTGATTAACCTACCAACATGTCTTTGGAGTGTGGGAGGAAACCAGTGTACCCAAGGATACATGCAAACTCCATGCAAAAGTGTCCTGGCGGAGATTTAAAAACGGAGGACCCCAGTCCTGCGGAAAACCTAACCAGTAAAGCCACTGTGCAGCCCACTAAGCCAATTCATGATAAATACACAGGTACAGCTGTGAATTACCTAGGAGAAAGAATTCCAGTTTTAAGTGTTCTCAGTGCAGAGAGTGGTGATCAAAGTGAAGCTCCTGTTTTGTACTTCAGGTTTTACCGTGTCCTGTTCTTTCAAACATGGAGGCTCAGCATCACATATGAGCATTACCTAGCGCAGCCTGCATGCAAATCCAGATTGCCTGTGAACACCCTCTGATACTCATCCAGCAAGTCGATTTGACATTTGCAGAATTCCTCTCTAAAGCTAACCTACTGCTTGCATCAGGGCTAAGGGCTTTTGAAGGGAATACGGAGACAAAGAGCTGTGATATCTTCTGGAAGCTATGTACAGCACCCATTTATCTGCATATGGGAAAAAATTATGCGTGCATCGTATTATACAGCAGTGTGAATGAGGCCTTAATAGAAGCATTTTATCGAAATAATAATAACAAAAAAATCCCATTAGCATGTTGAGGGGGTGGCAGGAAGCAGGGAAAGCAAACATAGGAAAATAAACTTTAGCACTAAAAGAGAAGTGAACTTATCCTTTTTGGTGCCCCCACGAGTTAAAGAACTCCGGGCAAAACTTTTATTAACCTTTGCAGTGGGTCTACCCCCGCACTGCAAGGGTTTAAGTGCTCTTTGTTTTGCCTAGGTGCTAAGAAGAAGGAAAAAAAAAGGAAGTTATACCCAATGCTCTGAGCCTGTTGTTCTTAGATCGGTCCCTGCAGCCTCTGTCCCCCTCCTCTGCAGCTGTCCAAGGTCCCGTAAATCATCACATTCTATACACTGTGTATAGACATGAGGAACATTTCAATGCTGCAGCGTACGAGGAGAGAGGCTTTAGTGACCAGAGAAGCAGGGATCGGGCTTGGGGGTTCAAGTGAGTAACTTTTTTTTTTAGCACCTACACAAAAATGAGCAGTTAACCTTTGCAGTACCCTGGTAACACTGCATGGAGTTCTTATTTAAACTAGACATCCCTCCCCCTCCCAAAATGCAAACTTACCTTGTTATATTTTGCAGATACCCTGTTTATTTACCCCCCACTGGTAAATCTTCAGTGTGCTGCCTGTACCTAACATCCCATAGGGCCCACAGGCCATCTCCTAAGTGTCTGCTACCTTGGGAAACGGATCAATAGAACCCTATAGGAAGCAATGCTTTGTTTAAACACAAGGAGCCAAACAAAACACTAGTTCACACCAGAAACTGCATCACAACTGCGTGCTTCTGCGCAGTTGCATTGCGACGCGTTTGTGATGCGTTTTCTCCCTGCATGTCCCTGGATGATGCCACAATCAATTCTGGTTGTTTTTTGTATGAGTTCATTGGGTTTCAGTGCGGTTAGATGCAGGTAAAATAGGACAAGCAGTACTTTTTCTGACTGCATCTGAATGGACTGCAATGGTGTGAATTAAGCACAAGAAAGCCCATAGGAAAGCATTGTGATGTATTTTGACTGCAGTGAAAATAAACAGACTGCATCACAAATGCATATGGTGTGAACTGGCCCTAAAAGGCTAAATGGCAGAAACCACACAAGGAAAAAAAAACAAGAATATTACATTCTAAGACAGGCGAGATCACAAGTAGGAGTCACAGCGATGGGCAGAAAAATAGGAAACACATTTCTTAAAGGATGGGCATAGGGTTCTTGGGAGTCAAGATTTTCATAGATTTTCGAGCTATTCATTTACAGCATGCACTGGTATACCTGATCTTCTGAAAACAAAACTCCTTTCTGAGTATTGATTCGTTGAAAAAGATCCCCTCCTTCACAATAGTCCATCACAATATACAGGCATCCGCTCTCTGAAACAAAGGAAGAAGTATTAGCACAATTAGTCTTTTATGGAGAAGACCGGAAAGATTCTACCAAGTAATAAGATCACATTATCATCAATCATGCTGGAAGCTTCCATTAGAGTACTTCAGTAAGAAAACAAAGAACAACATTAATGAAGTATGACTACGGGTCAGATGCCTATGTTTTGGCCTTATTTTGTCATAAATGTGTCTACTAGCATTCCATTAAGAGATTAAATACCACATAGAAAGTCCCAAAGGAAAAATGCTCATTTTCTGCACTGACCTGAATATGGGTTTATTCTAGACATGTGCAATTTGTTTCGGAAAGATTCATTTTTCGGACGAGTTTTCGGAAATCTGTACATTCGGATGCATCCGAATTTCTGAATGACAGAAATGGCGAATGCAAACGAATACCAATTTCGGAAAACTAAAATTTCGGATGCATCCAAATTTCTTTCCAGAATGAAGTTTTATTGTGTTAAGCATCAACTTAAAAAAAAAAAAAAATAAAAAGCGCGAGGTTCCCCCACAATTGATACCAGACCCTTTAGGTCTGGATGGAATGGTAGGTGGGACAAGACCACCACCACCACCACAAGAGAGGCTTCAGGTACTGGTCTAAGAACAAGCTGGAATCAGCAGTTCAGGTGGGTATAACTTCTTGTTTTCTTTTAGTACCTAGACAATAATGAGCACTTAACCCTTGCAGTGAGGGGGCAGCTCTACTGCAAGGGTTAATAAAAGTTTTGCCCGGAGTTCTTTAACATAAATATTTCCTAAGCAAACCTGAACATTTAGGATCATTTCAGACTGGGTATTTAGATTCTCGCATGACTCAAACTGTGACTGATTCTCTGTTGAACACTGTGCACAAGCAAGACATTTGATGAAAAGCAGCAAACAGAAAGCAGAGTCTAAAAAGCTGCAAATGTAATTTTCTGCTGAAGACTGATATAAGACAGCTGCATCGAAAGCAGTAAAGAGAATTATATGTGCATTACAAGATAACATTAATTCATTTATTTTTGTATAATGTAACAGCCCATTGTTAGCTACATCCATGCCAGTACCCCTTTTTTTTTTTTTGTTTAAATCACAAACAGGATTGCTCTCTGAAAAGTGTCTCTCCTGTTTTGGAGATTTGTATGGAGATTGTAGTTGTGGCTTCGAGTGGTGACTACTTTACAACACACATCGACCAGGGGGAACAAAAGTAGGCACCCCCCAGAAGGAAGGACAGTGACAGCACCAATTCAGAGATGATTTGAGGATCTACAGCCGAGTGATACACAAATAAGCTATATTGTTGTGAATAGTTAAAGTACTTTAATGCATTTTTAAGATTTAACTTTAAAATTATTTGTTAGGACCTGGGGATTAATGGGGAGAGGAGATAATTTTATTATTTATAGATAAAACAATCGAATGTATTATATTTTGTCGGAATGCACTGGTAACTATACCGGTATCGGTGCCTATACTGGGCATTTTGAGTAATTGTAAATGCCCCGATACTAAGTGCCAATACTGATGCTTTAAATTTTTAAACAAAAATGGCTGCCACAAAGTCCCACACTTGCTTCAGATTATCTTGCAGCGCTGCTTACAGTGCTGGCAGCGCATCTCCTCCTTCTTTCCTGTGGATCGCCACCGTCTGCCTCCAGACCACTGGTGAGATGCCTCACAGCCCTCCTAACACCCTGCACAACCCTGGGGAGAAGCCGCAGTAAGACCCTGCACAGCCCACCTGAGACCCTGTTTCAGCCCTAGTTAGACTCTGCACAGCCCTCCTAACACCATGCACAGCTCTGACGAGACCTTGCACAGCCCATCTGACACCCCGCAGACATCAGGCTGCCACCCTGGAGCAAAACAAAGCATCTGTAGCTTCATATTATTCTGCATTGCATTATAATGTATTGCTGGGATTTGTAGTCCTCTATAGCTGGTGGTATTCTGCATTGCTATATAATGTATTGTTGGGTTTTGTAGTCCCTATACAGCTTGCAGTCAGTGGCAGAACTCCCAGGGTTGCAGCTGCGGCCGGGCCCTGGCACCCCATCACTGTCCTAAAATCATTAGACAAAATTCCATATTCCCCAAATAGGGGATCCCACCACTCCTTCAAAAAGTATATATCAAATATTTGTAAAAATTGTATTTATTTATGAAAAGCTATAAAAAAAATTCAGGAGATATAACTGTATCTCGGCTTTGTGCGCTAATGCTGGTAAATCATTGCCTTCACTGAATATCTATATTAGTTCTGTGGGATCTATTCGTGTATCCAGAGTAGTTGGAAAAAGTAAGATCCAGAGGCCAGGTGATGTCTTTCCAGCCTGGTACACTGTGAGTTGATATCCTTTTTTCTTCTGTTGGAAATCCGAAGAGTTTCAGAGGGAAGTTGCCGTTTAAATAGTATAGAGAGCTCCAATACCGGCCACCCAGATTTCAGGAGATAGCGCTATCTCGGCTTCCTTATTTCTTATACATGTAAGCCTTCACTGAAAAGTGAGGTTTTCTTTTTCTCTTCCTTTATCACCAGAAAACTCTGGATCGATTAGTCCTTGCTGATATACCAGATTCAAATGATTCATGAATGTTTCTTGGGCAAAAACAGAACGGAGGAGCCTCAGCTGAAGCAGCCACATGAAAAGAAACCCTCACTGAACGCCTATGACGCGTTTCACCCCCTCCCACACCAGGGCTTCATCAGAAGGGCGTAGTTCAGTGAAGATTCTTGGATTTTCTCTTCTAGATATATACATTCATTATTGACTTAATCAGTAACACATGAAGGTGTATTTAAAACACAATGTGTTTCTGGTTGTGTCCCCTGGGGGCACATTTCTTTCAATTGATAAGATTTTTTATGTTATAAACTATATGGAAAATACATATACATCAAAAAAAAGTAAAAAAATATAAATTTCTTGATAGGTATCTACAGACCATTCATCTCTAACAACACAGAGTATATATTTCAAACGTGTTTGTATTATTAAGTGATACATATAAAGTATTTTGATGAAAAAAGGAGGGCATGTGTGTCAGTTATACGTTCTCCTTTATATGTAGTCTCTGGAGGTAGCAAGGAGGGCATCCAAGTGTAAAAATAGATGGCTAGAAGATGAATAGACAGGAAATATCCTCTACCCACTTTTCATCCACTTTATATCGTATGGTTAAAGCTTTTGGAGATTTTATTTTACTCCATAATATTCGTATAATTTTTGATGGTTTTATAAATAGTTTATCGAAATCCTCCATAATATTCTGACTAGCACAAAGAGAAAAGCAAACAGCGACACATGCCCATTTAGTTTCAATATAGAAACAAATATTTCTACAAATTATACATGTCTTTATGACACAGGTGCAAATCCCACCTTATCTGTGGAGAAAGGAAAAAGGAAAACGGCTTCTAAGTGGAGGAGGACCTCAAACACGAAAAAGGTGAAAAGATGAATAACTGCAAAAAACGAATGAATATGCGAAAAAGGAGAGCAGGATTAAATTATAAGAATTATAAAAAGCAGCTGAAATTGATGGTGTCATTTATTCCTGGTTTTTCATAGGATTTAGTGGAATGAATCCATTTGCATTCTCTTTGAAGTAAGAGTTTGTCCCAATCTCCCCCTCTGTTGGACCTATGGACTCTATCCACAACAGAAAAACTAAGTCCTTTGGTTTTTCCCCCATGTACATGGACCATATGTCTGGCAATGGGAGACCGTAGGTCATGTGCTCCAATGTCAGAGATATGGTCTGAGATTCTATTTTTTAGCATTCTTTTAGTCTTCCCTATATAAAACATATCACATGTACATTTTAGCAAGTATATAACTCCCTTGGTTTCGCAATTGGCGAAGTGCTTACATTTAATAATTTGCCCAGTAGGGGTAGTAACTTCAGGTCCTGTTGAAATATAAGTGCAAAATTTGCACTTTTGACACTTGTAAGTGCCTGGATATTTACAACAGGACCATTTTTTGTTAGTGTTGTATTCGCTGGAGACTAGTTTATCTTTTAAGGAGGGACATTTTTTTTAACTTATTGTAGGTTTTTGTTGTAAAAATTTGGAAATCCTGGAGTCTTTTAGTAGACAATGCCAGTGTTTAGTTAATATGGCCCTAATTGCTTGATGTTGGTTATTGTAAAAAAGGGCAATTCCAGATCATCCATAGTCATGGTAAATTTGAGATTGAGATAGTTGAAATTTAAAACTTCAACTAAATCTTCCAAAAGCTTCCTACTTCCTGTCCAGAGAATCAAGATATCATCTATGTACCTGTGCCATGAAAGTACATGGCACAGGTACATAGACAAGTCGTCTCTGGACCAGATATCTTCTTCCCACACCCCTAGGTACAGGTTGGCATATGATGGAGCACACCGTGTTCCCATAGCCGTGCCCTGCACCTGGAGGTAAAGGTTGTTGTCAAAGGAAAAAGTGTTATGGGTCAAAATAAAATGCAACAGTTGTGTCAAAAAAATGTTATGATTGAATTCGGGTGTTCCTAGGGAAGCTAGAACTTTCTCTATAACCTCTATTCCCTTCGAATGGGGTATAGAGGAATACAGGGCTTCCACATCAAGGCCTACCAAAAGAGTTTCAGCTGGGACTTCAAGATCTTTAATCTGGGATATTAGGTGGGGGGTATCTTTTACATATGACGTAAGGGATTCCACATGTGGACGTAGGAAATAATCTATATATATACTTGCATTTTCGGTTAGGGCTCCACAGCTCGATATAATAGGGCGGCCTGGAGGGTTTTTTATATTTTTATGGACTTTTGGTAGGGCATATATTACCGGAGTTCTGGGGTGTTGAATTTTAAGAAAATGACTAGTGTTCTTATCTATGATGTTATTCTCCAGAGCTTCATCAATTATATTAAATAATTGTTGTTGGTGGTTTTGTAGGGCACTTTCCTTGATAGGTTGGTACCATTGTCGGTTGTTTAAAATTTTCATCACCATCTCTGTATAGAAAGCACTATTCATGATGACTACGTTTCCCCCTTTGTCTGCGGGTTTTAAAATTATATCCTTATTCTGTTGTAGAGCTTTTAAGGCATTCCTTTGTTCATACGACAAATTGTCATTTTTTACTTTATATGTTAAATTTTTAGTCTGTATTGTTTTAGAAAGACTGTCATATGACACACACAAAAAAAAAAAAGTATTGATAATTGTTTTACGGCAAGTACCTGAGGAAAAGTATCGGTACTCGGTCTGGAAAAAAATGTATTGATGCATCCCTAATAATTGGAGGGTTTTATGAATTTTTTTTTCCAACATTCTTCTTTCATACAGAGTCTAGAGGTCAGTGGAAACCTGATCCAACCCCCTCTCATGCATCCCTATAGCAACAGATCACTTACAATTGTAACCTATTGCCTTTGTTATAAGCAAGCAGTGGATTACTACTAAAGTGATCTGTTGCAGCACATGTAGGCAATGCAGAGCTATATCAGCTCTGATCCGTCTCCCCATGCATGCTGGCTCAATAGGAAGTGCTGACAAGGTCATAGGTAATGGGTTGCATGTTTGGCACCAGGACATAAAAGTTTTTAAAAAAGGCTTGACTGTCAGGATTCTATTCACACTAGAGTTCACAAACTAAAATTGACAAGTGGTTGTTTGACACATGCAGTACTGAGGCTCTGTACACACAAGCATTTGTTAATCTTGGCTTGTACAGTGGGGCAAAAAAGTATTTAGTCAGCCACCAATTGTGCAAGTTCTCCCACTTAAAAAGATGAGAGAGGCCTGTAATTGGCACCATAGGTAGACCTCAACTATGAGAGACAAAATGAGAAAAAAAATCCAGACAAATCACATTGGCTGATTTGGAACCAATTTATTTGCAAATTATGGTGGAAAATAAGTATTTGGTCAATATCAAAAGGTCATCTCAATACTTTGTTATATATCCTTTGTTGGCAATGACAGAGGTCAAACGTGTCCTGTACGTCTTCACAAGGTTGGCACACACTAATCAAACAGGTGCCATTGATACAGGTAATGAGTGCAGGACAGAGGAGCCTCTTAAAGAAGAAGGTACAGGTCTGTGAGAGCCAGAACTCTTGCTTGTTTGTAGGTGACCAAATACTTATTTTCCACCATAATTTGCAAATAAATTTGTTCCAAATCAGCCGATGTGATTTGTCTGGATTTGTTTTCTCATTTTGTCTCTCATAGTTGAGGTCTACCTATGATGCCAATTACAGGTCTCTCTCATCTTTTTAAGCGGGAGTTTAAGCGGGAGAACTTGCACAATTGGTGGCTGACTAAATACTTTTTTGCCCCACTGTAAATAGCTTAAAACATGTCCAAAATAAAGGTTTTATAATTAAAAATACACTGGAAATGAAACACCGTTTGAAAAACCTGCAAAAACAGCGCATTTCTCACTTTCATGGTAGAAATGTTATGGTTTATTAATGTTTACATCACAAGGACAGCACAATTCCCAACCTTCAAATGATTCTCTGTACTGGACAATATTTGGATGCTTCATGTTTGCCAGCACAGCAACTTCCCTCCTCGATTCCTCCCTCTCTTTGTTGGACATCTGAAAGAAATACATACAGTATATTGATCAATACAGGAAGCAGACACCTGAAACCAGGACACGTTGTCTATAAAATCGGTAAGGGAATTCACTGAAAAAACTTCCTTTACAATGTCCTTACACATGAAAGGACAGCCCTTTATAGGATTAATCAACAACTGCAAAGCTGCCTTGAAGGATGGAAACGTACAGATGTACCGGGATCAATACTAATTACCGAGAGACATGTGTATCCCAAAAAACACAGGTTTCCGTTCGCTACAACTGTTCTTGTACCAAAACAAAAAGTAGACTGGAAATACTTAGGCAGTTAACCAACATGTCACTTGATGTCACTACTGCATACTATGATTTGCAGGAGAGAAGTGTGGAGGGTATGAGAGCACGCAGTATATGGAGGGGAGAAGTGTGGAGGGGATGAGAGCACGCAGTATATGGAGGGGAGAAGTGTGGAGGGGATGAGAGCACGCAGTATATGGAGGGGAGAAGTGTGGAGGGGATGAGAGCACGCAGTATATGGAGGGGAGAAGTGTGGAGGGGATGAGAGCACGCAGTATATGGAGGGGAGAAGTGTGGAGGGGATGAGAGCACGCAGTATATGGAGGGGAGAAGTGTGGAGGGGATGAGAGCACGCAGTATATGGAGGGGAGAAGTGTGGAGGGGATGAGAGCACGCAGTATATGGAGGGGAGAAGTGTGGAGGGGATGAGAGCACGCAGTATATGGAGGGGAGAAGTGTGGAGGGGATGAGAGCACGCAGTATATGGAGGGGAGAAGTGTGGAGGGGATGAGAGCACGCAGTATATGGAGGGGAGAAGTGTGGAGGGGATGAGAGCACGCAGTATATGGAGGGGAGAAGTGTGGAGGGGATGAGAGCACGCAGTATATGGAGGGGAGAAGTGTGGAGGGGATGAGAGCACGCAGTATATGGAGGGGAGAAGTGTGGAGGGGATGAGAGCACGCAGTATATGGAGGGGAGAAGTGTGGAGGGGATGAGAGCACGCAGTATATGGAGGGGAGAAGTGTGGAGGGGATGAGAGCACGCAGTATATGGAGGGGAGAAGTGTGGAGGGGATGAGAGCACGCAGTATATGGAGGGGAGAAGTGTGGAGGGGATGAGAGCACGCAGTATATGGAGGGGAGAAGTGTGGAGGGGATGAGAGCACGCAGTATATGGAGGGGAGAAGTGTGGAGGGGATGAGAGCACGCAGTATATGGAGGGGAGAAGTGTGGAGGGGATGAGAGCACGCAGTATATGGAGGGGAGAAGTGTGGAGGGGATGAGAGCACGCAGTATATGGAGGGGAGAAGTGTGGAGGGGATGAGAGCACGCAGTATATGGAGGGGAGAAGTGTGGAGGGGATGAGAGCACGCAGTATATGGAGGGGAGAAGTGTGGAGGGGATGAGAGCACGCAGTATATGGAGGGGAGAAGTGTGGAGGGGATGAGAGCACGCAGTATATGGAGGGGAGAAGTGTGGAGGGGATGAGAGCACGCAGTATATGGAGGGGAGAAGTGTGGAGGGGATGAGAGCACGCAGTATATGGAGGGGAGAAGTGTGGAGGGGATGAGAGCACGCAGTATATGGAGGGGAGAAGTGTGGAGGGGATGAGAGCACGCAGTATATGGAGGGGAGAAGTGTGGAGGGGATGAGAGCACGCAGTATATGGAGGGGAGAAGTGTGGAGGGGATGAGAGCACGCAGTATATGGAGGGGAGAAGTGTGGAGGGGATGAGAGCACGCAGTATATGGAGGGGAGAAGTGTGGAGGGGATGAGAGCACGCAGTATATGGAGGGGAGAAGTGTGGAGGGGATGAGAGCACGCAGTATATGGAGGGGAGAAGTGTGGAGGGGATGAGAGCACGCAGTATATGGAGGGGAGAAGTGTGGAGGGGATGAGAGCACGCAGTATATGGAGGGGAGAAGTGTGGAGGGGATGAGAGCACGCAGTATATGGAGGGGAGAAGTGTGGAGGGGATGAGAGCACGCAGTATATGGAGGGGAGAAGTGTGGAGGGGATGAGAGCACGCAGTATATGGAGGGGAGAAGTGTGGAGGGGATGAGAGCACGCAGTATATGGAGGGGAGAAGTGTGGAGGGGATGAGAGCACGCAGTATATGGAGGGGAGAAGTGTGGAGGGGATGAGAGCACGCAGTATATGGAGGGGAGAAGTGTGGAGGGGATGAGAGCACGCAGTATATGGAGGGGAGAAGTGTGGAGGGGATGAGAGCACGCAGTATATGGAGGGGAGAAGTGTGGAGGGGATGAGAGCACGCAGTATATGGAGGGGAGAAGTGTGGAGGGGATGAGAGCACGCAGTATATGGAGGGGAGAAGTGTGGAGGGGATGAGAGCACGCAGTATATGGAGGGGAGAAGTGTGGAGGGGATGAGAGCACGCAGTATATGGAGGGGAGAAGTGTGGAGGGGATGAGAGCACGCAGTATATGGAGGGGAGAAGTGTGGAGGGGATGAGAGCACGCAGTATATGGAGGGGAGAAGTGTGGAGGGGATGAGAGCACGCAGTATATGGAGGGGAGAAGTGTGGAGGGGATGAGAGCACGCAGTATATGGAGGGGAGAAGTGTGGAGGGGATGAGAGCACGCAGTATATGGAGGGGAGAAGTGTGGAGGGGATGAGAGCACGCAGTATATGGAGGGGAGAAGTGTGGAGGGGATGAGAGCACGCAGTATATGGAGGGGAGAAGTGTGGAGGGGATGAGAGCACGCAGTATATGGAGGGGAGAAGTGTGGAGGGGATGAGAGCACGCAGTATATGGAGGGGAGAAGTGTGGAGGGGATGAGAGCACGCAGTATATGGAGGGGAGAAGTGTGGAGGGGATGAGAGCACGCAGTATATGGAGGGGAGTAGTGTGGAGGGTATGAGAGCACGAAGTATATGGAGGGGAGTAGTGTGGAGGGTAAGAGAGCACGCAGTATATGGAGGGGAGTAGTGTGGAGGGTATGAGAGCATGCAGTATATGGAGGGGAGAAGTGTGGAGGGTATGAGAGCACGCAGTATATGGAGGGGAGTAGTGTAGAGGGTATGAGAGCACGCAGTATATGGAGGGGAGTAGTGTAGAGGGTATGAGAGCACGCAGTATATGGAGGGGAGTAGTGTAGAGGGTATGAGAGCACGCAGTATATGGAGGGGAGTAGTGTAGAGGGTATGAGAGCACGCAGTATATGGAGGGGAGTAGTGTAGAGGGTATGAGAGCACGCAGTATATGGAGGGGAGTAGTGTAGAGGGTATGAGAGCACGCAGTATATGGAGGGGAGTAGTGTAGAGGGTATGAGAGCACGCAGTATATGGAGGGGAGTAGTGTAGAGGGTATGAGAGCACGCAGTATATGGAGGGGAGTAGTGTAGAGGGTATGAGAGCACGCAGTATATGGAGGGGAGTAGTGTAGAGGGTATGAGAGCACGCAGTATATGGAGGGGAGTAGTGTAGAGGGTATGAGAGCACGCAGTATATGGAGGGGAGTAGTGTAGAGGGTATGAGAGCACGCAGTATATGGAGGGGAGTAGTGTAGAGGGTATGAGAGCACGCAGTATATGGAGGGGAGTAGTGTAGAGGGTATGAGAGCACGCAGTATATGGAGGGGAGTAGTGTAGAGGGTATGAGAGCACGCAGTATATGGAGGGGAGTAGTGTAGAGGGTATGAGAGCACGCAGTATATGGAGGGGAGTAGTGTAGAGGGTATGAGAGCACGCAGTATATGGAGGGGAGTAGTGTAGAGGGTATGAGAGCACGCAGTATATGGAGGGGAGTAGTGTAGAGGGTATGAGAGCACGCAGTATATGGAGGGGAGTAGTGTAGAGGGTATGAGAGCACGCAGTATATGGAGGGGAGTAGTGTAGAGGGTATGAGAGCACGCAGTATATGGAGGGGAGTAGTGTAGAGGGTATGAGAGCACGCAGTATATGGAGGGGAGTAGTGTAGAGGGTATGAGAGCACGCAGTATATGGAGGGGAGTAGTGTAGAGGGTATGAGAGCACGCAGTATATGGAGGGGAGTAGTGTAGAGGGTATGAGAGCACGCAGTATATGGAGGGGAGTAGTGTAGAGGGTATGAGAGCACGCAGTATATGGAGGGGAGTAGTGTAGAGGGTATGAGAGCACGCAGTATATGGAGGGGAGTAGTGTAGAGGGTATGAGAGCACGCAGTATATGGAGGGGAGTAGTGTAGAGGGTATGAGAGCACGCAGTATATGGAGGGGAGTAGTGTAGAGGGTATGAGAGCACGCAGTATATGGAGGGGAGTAGTGTAGAGGGTATGAGAGCACGCAGTATATGGAGGGGAGTAGTGTAGAGGGTATGAGAGCACGCAGTATATGGAGGGGAGTAGTGTAGAGGGTATGAGAGCACGCAGTATATGGAGGGGAGTAGTGTAGAGGGTATGAGAGCACGCAGTATATGGAGGGGAGTAGTGTAGAGGGTATGAGAGCACGCAGTATATGGAGGGGAGTAGTGTAGAGGGTATGAGAGCACGCAGTATATGGAGGGGAGTAGTGTAGAGGGTATGAGAGCACGCAGTATATGGAGGGGAGTAGTGTAGAGGGTATGAGAGCACGCAGTATATGGAGGGGAGTAGTGTAGAGGGTATGAGAGCACGCAGTATATGGAGGGGAGTAGTGTAGAGGGTATGAGAGCACGCAGTATATGGAGGGGAGTAGTGTAGAGGGTATGAGAGCACGCAGTATATGGAGGGGAGTAGTGTAGAGGGTATGAGAGCACGCAGTATATGGAGGGGAGTAGTGTAGAGGGTATGAGAGCACGCAGTATATGGAGGGGAGTAGTGTAGAGGGTATGAGAGCACGCAGTATATGGAGGGGAGTAGTGTAGAGGGTATGAGAGCACGCAGTATATGGAGGGGAGTAGTGTAGAGGGTATGAGAGCACGCAGTATATGGAGGGGAGTAGTGTAGAGGGTATGAGAGCACGCAGTATATGGAGGGGAGTAGTGTAGAGGGTATGAGAGCACGCAGTATATGGAGGGGAGTAGT